TCGGTGAGATTTGAACCGCTGAACTGCAGATAGCAGTCAGCTGAAGTGGCCTGCAGTACTGCACCCTAACCACTGCGCCACCTCGGCTGATCTATCCCAGAAAGAATTCCCACCCGACCCCCATGACATGTGTTGGATATACAACTGCCTCTTGTATGCATCCTTGGACCTAAAGCCCCCTGAATGTCATCTAACTAACAATCTGAACTGGGCTCTCCACATGTCATCTCTTAATGAAGCGCGCAAACTAGTGCCTGCATTTCCTGCATCGGATGAGCAGGGCACAGCTTTCTTCTTCTTGTCCTGGCCACTTTTCACAGGGCCATGATCAAGAGCGTTTTAACAAACCGCATCCCTGTTTGGTTCGGTGGCAGCAGGGCCTCAGATAGAAAGTCCCTACAGAGAGTGGTGAGGACAGTGGAGAAGATCCTAGGAAGCTGGATTCATGTCATTCAGGATACTGCTTATAAGCGCTGTGTGCTTAGAGCTGGAAGCATCGTTAGAGACCCCCACACACTTACTCCAGGGTCTGTTTCTGTTGCTCCCTTCTGGGAGGAGGTTTCAAAGTATTTCTAGCAGGATTATCAGATTATGTAACAACTTTGTTCCCTACACTATCCGTTTGGCAAACTGGCAAATTTCATTTTTCTTACCATGTAGATGTAGACATCTGAACCAGACTGTGGTTCCTGTGTCATATAATATATGTGGGTATCAGGGGTGGGTTCTGGATTCTTTTACTCAGGGGTGCGCTTCGCATGCTGGTAGTGAAAAAATAGCTTCTGCGCATGGGCAGAAACAAAAAACAAGATGGCGGCGCCTTCAGCGCTGCCGATAGAACCAGTTCAGGGGAGAGGATGGCCAAGTTATTACCTACTTGGCCAAACCGGTCTGAACTGGTAGGAGCCCACCCCTGGTGGGTATATGCATAACTTTTGCATTTATGCGTTTATTTGTTTTGTGGTGTTTATGTGGTGTCTATCGGAGGGCGCTGACCCTTGGAGAGCTGTATGCAACAAAATTTTCAATTTTCAATTTAATAAAATTTGTCTGCCGCCCACTCCCTTGGGACTCTGGGCGGCTTACAGGTAGATAAAAAAGCATTTAAAAATTTAAGATAAAAGATACAATTATTAAAATTACACACCATCCATTCTGTCT